GACGTCGTCATCACAGGCTTTACGAACCAAACGATATTCTTCGGGCAACCAGGGTCCATTTGCTAATCGTCAACGCAACCCTTCACGAATCACAGGGCAAGCAGTACTCCCAACTCCAAACCCTCGTCGTCGCACCGTCATCATCAGCTGCCCATCAGCCTCCAGCTGAACACGCACGGACGCCATGTCGACATCCCGTGGTTGAAACGCAATCTCCCATTCGTAGTGTGCTGCTCACACACCGATATATGTCAGCGCTCTGTCTCGTCCAAGATGCCCGCGAGGAGGAACCAAGCGCCTCACATTCTTTCTCCACGTTCCATGCGTCTACCACCACAGCGACACGGCTGCCGCGCTTCGCATACACAGTCACCATCTCCGGCGATAGGCCTTGACACAGCTGCGCCGAGAACCGATGCTGCATGGACGTGGATTGCAGCTCCAGACGTGCCGTGTGACCTGCGCGTCGGTTGCGCGCAAGCGGAGACTCGGGGCGACACAAGCCACCAGCAGACTCATAGGACGAAGAAGCTAGAGGATCGTCGTTAGAGTTTGCGCGTGTCGCCAGCGCCGTAGGCTCGACGGTGGGCACTGAGAACAAGGATCCAAGCGAGCGCGAACAGGACAGACAAGACGCGAGGATCCTTGAACCAGCGGGTCTTGCAGCGTCTATGTCTCTAGTCGCCGGAGGTGGGGCATACGGCAGGCAGGATACATCATCGACTCCAATTGCAAGGACGTCGCCAGACTCCGAGATCAGGCGCAGTGACGGTGCCCGTGCTCGCCGCGGATACAAGGCTGTTGCATTGAGGGATGTCGCTCTTGTAGGCAGGCAGTTCTCGCGCGCCTTGAATGAGCCATCTAGCGTAGACGTCCATCAGCGTGGTCGATAGCAATGAAAGAGTCATGAGCGCTGCCTCACCCACACCCACTGAACAGACAGGACGGGGTGGTTGCCGAGACGTGATCCCGAGTTCTGCAAACGACCGCTGTTTGTTTGTTGATGCTCGTGATATTGACCTAGACACGCCCTGTGTAACGGTACTAGCTCCCAGTGGGAGAGGTGTGCCGGTGTCAAGTGTGTCAATGGCGGTGATGCTGCGACTGGCGCCGAGTCCTCGCAGAATCCCAGGGTTGGTCAACGAACGGAGCCGTGCGCGAGTGCCATGACAGAGAGACATTGGTAGAGAATATCGTACACGGCCGTAGAGGATGGAAGATGTAGAGTTGCGCTGCCTGAGACATCCGCCATCGATTCCGATGCTGACTGCACTGGACGCGTCAGGGAGTGGTCCAAGTCGTTACTGCAGCATGTCCACACGAAGCACGCGACATGGCTACATTTGTCAGTGAAGGTGCACATCTGAATGTCTTCCAACATGTTCGGCATTGAGGTGCACAAAGCAAGCTGCAGCCATCGCGCACTCTACTTGCCGGAATCACGTCCACGCTAGTCGGGATGTCTTGCAAACATAGCCGAACCTAGAAGACAAGGCATTCGTGACTGTGATGAAAATGTACGCATTCAACTAGGAGTAATCATGGACGTTGCAACGAAGCAGCAGGCGCCTCTATAGATAATTTTGAACAGCAATATTGACAAGTACACACAAAGAATATTTCTGCTATGACGTCATGTCCCGGCGAACGACGGGTCTGCTGGGTAGACGTTCAGGCGCAAGAAATGTCAACCCACAAGACGCTCTGCAATGGCTACTCTTATATACGGCGCAACATCGCACATTACGCCACAATCGTGCATAAGAACAGAAATGTCTGGTATCATGCGTGATTCGTTACGTGTAAGTGGGGGGATGTAGCAACATCACAATGCAGTGGTCGTCTACATGCAATAAGACCGATGTAACCAGTATTATAAGGCGGTCCGTAAAAATCTATCCCCAAGGCAAAGCGGAGCTTATGCGGTCTGAAGTGGCCATATCATGTCAGCACAGCGGACTTAGCACGCCAGGTCCGCAACTCACCGAGTCCTTGAGCCAGGTAATGAGGTCGTTGCGGTCCTTCTCCTTCTTGAGACCCGCGAACGCCATCTTCGTACCAGGGATGTACTGTACCAGCCGTGGTGTCAATACTCCGTGACCATGACGTGGGCACCCCAACGCACCTTTTTGGGGTTCTCGAGGTACTCGAAAAGAGTCTCCTCCTCCCAGACAACACCCTTGTTGACATTGGCAGCAGTGTATGAGAAGCCTTCAACCTGACCAGACTTGCGACCGAAGAGACTACGCGAACGTCAGCCTCACACGTCCCACGTCGCAAACATCGCCAAGACGTACCCATGCAAGTTGGGGCCAACCTTGTTGGGCTCGCCCGCGCCGACGGTGTGGCACTGAGCGCAACGGGTCTTGAACAGACCAGCACCCTTGTTAGCGTCACCTACAATGAGGTCATTCAGGATGCGCCATTCGTTTGCCTCCAAGAGGTTGCTGAGCACGCTCACCAGCCTGGAAAGGCATGTCTAGTTGTCTAGAGGTCGTAAGGTAGGGAATAGATATACAGCACGAGGATGGGTATGCTCGAAGGCAGAGGTGTGATGACGCTCGGAACGCGTCGAAATTTTGGTTATAAGTGCACCTGAAACCGGTTCCTCCCGGCCAATCTGCCAGCCAATCACAGTCGGCCGATTCCGTCCGTACGGCTCAGCCACAACGCCCATGTTCCTGCATGTTCTCGGCGAGCCGCCGTCATCAACGCTGGGTTTACCCGGGCCCGGCGCCGCCGGCGCTCCCTGCAAGCGCCACGTGCACAACGCGGTGCACGTGAACTGTGGGACTCGCGCAACGTGGGAATGCGCGCGCATAATTCGAACTCCGTTAGTCCGGTTTGTTTTGCGCCGTCATCGCCGCGCGCGTCCGCGAACGCGTCCTGCGCCTCCCCGTCCTTTCTCCTCGCCGACTAGGTTGTGTGCGCGCTGGCGACGCTTTAAACATATATGCAGGGCAGCAGGTCCTCCTCTCAAACTATAGCAGCCACAGTGCAGGTCCAGATGATACCCGCCACCGGTTCTCAGCCCCCAGCATCCAAGCGCAAGGCACATGAGGATGGCAACCCACTACTCAACGCGGGGAAGAAAAAGAAAGACGTATGTGTCGTGTCGTTATGCGATGTACCGTGCTAGCTCATTCTGTGTCCGCAGACATCAAAGAATAAACGGAAATGTGAGTGTTACACCGTCCCTTTGTCTAATACCAGTCGACGTGCCCCGTAGCTCTCCATCTACTGATCATCCATGAGTTGTGCGACTCGCCTACGTAGCAGCCTACAGTAATATCGATCCTACTCTGTAGAACGCTCCACTTGGAGGGCATAAGACGAAATCTACGCGAGGTCTACAGCTACAAGTCCTACCAGGCTTAACCACTTCGCCTAGTCTGCTTCCTGGCTCAGTTCTGTTTGAGACTGTAACATCCGTTAGATACTGATGTCAATTCCGTAGTGAATGGCGAGGAACAACCAGGTGGCCTTGTCATTGTACGCGCACCGTCAGCACCTCCGTGGACTACACAACAGAACGGCCACACCGAAACTGCACCATCACAATCACTGCCACCCCGAGCCTCATCTCGTCCTCCATCCAGTCAACGACAAAATCCACATCCCCCGGATCATTCAAAGCAGCCGTCGAAGAAGTTCAAGGCTGATGGGAGCACTACGACCGCGCGTCAGCTAAGCAAAGGCAAAGACAGGGAGCTACAGCCGAGTACACGCGCGGAGCCTGAGGTCGATGAGGATGTGCGGCAGATGCAGTCCGAGGCAGACATCCTACGCCGGAAATCACAGGCAGCGGAGCACTCGGTAGGCACTCTCAACGAGGGCTTTGAATTTCCCCCACCCAGGCCAAGCAGACAACAAACACCTCGGGTCCGTGAAGCGTCCCTCCCTATCCTTCAACAAGAGACGCCGCAGATCGAACGGAATCGATTCATGCGAGGCGAGCCTTCTTCTAGTCATAGGCGGAAGAGATCGCTCAGTCGTGGTAAGCGGTTCAGTTCTAGTTTCGAGAATACGGGAATTATTTGTAAGAGCTAAGCAGTATGTCTTAACGTGTCTTGCTCATTGTATTGTAGCACAACCGCACACATCGGTGGCAGACTCAAGTTTTCACAAACACATCGATGGCGAGCTTCCGGAACCAGCGCGGGCGCGGCAGCTCCTGATCTGGTGCTCGCACCGTGCCATGAACACCCCCACGGATAGTGCACAGGGCTCGTCCTCGAAGCGGCGAGAGTCGAAAAAGTCCGGCAAAGATCCACCCCCTCTGTCTGATGAGGCCACAGCGCTGCTCAAACGAGTGCAGGAGGGCGTCATCCGAATGCTGGCGGACAAGAAGATCGATACCAACGTATATAGTGCCGAGGACGACCGAGAGCCGTCACGGCCAAAGAAGGAGAACGAGCAAAATGTCAAGAACCGCGCTCGCGAGATCCGATTTAATGCACATATCCAAAGGTGTGTGGCCCCATTCCTGACCGGATTTTATTGAATCTCAGAGTGTTCGATGTATTGTAGATCGAAGGCTGAAGAGGATGCGTGGTTGGAGGTCTCACATCAATACAATACCTATCGGGCGGAGATGCTGGCTGAGCTTGAGAAGCAGTCTTTAGCAAAGGCCAAGGGCAAACAGCGCGCATCTGCGGACGAGATCGATGAGTGGGAGGTCGATGAGCGAGCATTGTCAGAACACTTCCGGAGGAGCGGGAGCTTAGACCTCGCACGCAAGGTAGTTGGCCCAGAGGGAGGCAAGAGTCCCCTTGGTGGCCGCCTACAGGATCTGGAGTACACGGTGCGACGCAATTCGTTTTTCGTACGCTCATGTACTAATTTCGATTTAGGTGGACCACCTGCACACACTCGCGCATTCAGCCCTCGAGACCACGCATATAGCAGAGTTCGATCTGAACCGCCGCTTTGCCCTGCTGAACATCTCCTTATCGACACGCGCGCAGCCCGCCCCGTCTTCCGTACCTCACAATCCCGGCGCATTGTCGTCATACTTGCCGCCAAGCCTGACACGCCCGCCACCCACTACCGATCCCCAAGACCTCCTGCGTGCCCTCTCCCGCATTGACGCTGAGCGACCGCAGAACCAAGTAGGCGATGCGGCGCGGCGGGCGGCCCGGGAAGTGCAACGCGCGGCGGATGCTCCTATCGGTATGTCGGAACGACGGCTAACGGGCGTGCCTCCTCCAACACCGCGCAAACCGCCAGGGACACCCCGGAGAGCCACAACACCGGGGAGAGGGAGATAAGGGGGCTCATGAATTATGTCTGTATAGTCGCCTGGGACTGTTCACTTCTATTTTTTACAATGCGTATCTTCGACCTTCGACTGTTTATTTCATACTAGCTGCTCGTACAGTATCATTTGGCCTTTTGACGGGATATGGTCTCTGTTTATATCCGCTGCGCCTCACATTCGGCAGGAAGTGGGGACGGCGACATGTATTGGTATTGGATATTGTGCCGTGGGCTGTGTTAGCATCGGAAATGTATCCATCCTCGTAATGTGTAGCTTAGAGTGTGCATCTCATCTCGTTCACGACGTTCGCACTGCAGGCTTTGCAACACAGGCGCGCTGTCATGAGTGCTGTCGCAGCTCTCATGCAGCGCTCATCTTCTCCATCCTCTCTGCTACTCAGCGTCGCGGCTAGCGTCCTGGACTTTCGTCAAGCTTTGAAGTCGACGCCTGTATTGCTCTCTAATTAGCTACAGGCAAGGCTGTGTAGGCTTGCGTACCATGATCTGCGCAAAACAGGTCTTTCGATGCTTCAGGTGTCTCGAACGCGCCGGCGACAAGCTCACTGGGGCTGCAGGCCCTGTCTTCGTCACACTAGGCGCTGTCCTGCTCTCGACGGGCGCATTCTGTTTCTGTGAGCCCCTCTCACAATCCAGTCGCTGCCATGCGCAGCACTCTGGCTGACCGCTCGCACAGTCGAGGTAGTCCGCCCATCCGTACCCCTTCCTTTGTTTTCGACGCCCATATGCGTTCTCATCGCATTCAACCTGCTCATGCACTACTACTGGGTCTGCGTCGTGCCGCCCGGCTTCGTGACGGACACGCCCCGCACACCGGGGAAGGGTCTGCTGTGGGCACGCAAGCGGCGAAGCGCACGCAACCGAGCATTGACGGGCGTGCGTTGGTCGGATGACGTGCAAATCACGCCCGGGACGCTATCGCGCTGTCGGAAATGCAGTATTCTGCGGCCAGAGGTGAGTGCACGTATCATGTAGTGAAGGCCCGCGCTGAGATGTTGTCATCGTGCCACGGAGAGGTCCCACCATTGTAGGATTTGCAACCGCTGTGTGCTCAAGTATGACCATCATTGTCCAGTGCGTCTTTCATCGACGTGAAAAAAAAAGGTCGATGACGGCTTACGGGCTTGGGAACAGTGTATGCCGCGCCCCGGATGTGATCATGGTTCTAAAGGCTGACTACGCGCAGGGATCAACCAATGCGTGGGCCTGCATAATGAGCGACATTTTGTCTTGTTCCTGTGCGTGCCGCCCCTCTATGAATGACATTTTTACACTTGACACGGTTATACATAGCATATACCTCGTCGTGTCAACCTTCTTCTACGCCCTCTTCGGCTGGCGTTATGGCCTCAATGCGCTGGGCTGGTATGATGTAGGCCCCCTCTCTGCCTTTTATCTATGAGACATTCACACCCCCGATTAGGACGAGGCATGGCCGTACTGGTCGCCGCCAGTACCTTTCGTCGCAACCTACGTGCTTTCTGTGGTGCTCTGTTTAGCGGTTGTCATCATGGTCTCGTGGCATCTTTGGGGCATAGCGTGCGGGGAGACATCCGTCGAAGCCGCCGACCACGAGCAGTATCGTACGCTCGTAAGCGGCCGTGGTGAGGTGCGTATCACCTACACCTCCTGCGCGCAAAGCATGTTGTAGCTGAGTCCACACATGCAATCAGACGTTCGTGAACTCGTATGATCTTGGGTCAGTGCAGGGTGCACTTCACGCAGCTTCGTGCACGGCTGACCCGTTCTACACAGGAAACGCAAGAACCTCGAGCTGTTCTTTAATATTGGCAAGGACGGCTAGTGAGTTCTTACCCTGCACTGCACAGTTGCCTCTGTTGACGCATCCCAATCAATCGCGGCTCTACTCGCTAGTCCCATTTACACCCTGCTCTTCCCCTTCCGTATCGAACCGTACACCGATGGACGCGCATGGGCTCGCCGACCAGGGTACGAGCGCCACGGCGGGCTCCGGGCGGGCGAGGAGCTCACAGACGAGGAAGAGGACGCTGATGCAGGTGCATAGCCAATTTCCGCCTATTCATGAGGAAATCATTAAGTTGGAAAGCGCCGCAGTGGCGCCATGAATACTATGGTGAGTAGTACGTCCAGACCCGTTTGGGGCCATTGGGAGGTGGCTGGCGGTGGTGTTCCATGATGACAATTTGCCGGGGCCATATGACCCTTCGGGGGCGGCCTGCCTAGTGGTGGGCTTGCTCCGGGAAGAGGATTGATCGACGTCCGGCTTCTATGCGCGTCGTATGACGCAGCGTGATTTTCTGATTATTATTGGTGTCATTGTCTGCTTCTTGATTGTGCTCGCTACTGACTAAAATACACTTTACTATAGATGGGCGCATGGATGGCTAGCATCACATTCGATAGTTTACATGGAAGACGTGTAGTTTTGCGAGAGCTAGATAATCAATTTAAGCTGAAACCTCACCGATGGTATGCGGTATCGCGGAACACTGGACTACAAAGACAAGGCGGTCCATGGAGCCAGCATATCCCACAGTCCAGTCGACTCTAACTACTCTGCAGCCTGCTTGCTATGTACCCTGTAATCCAAGCGCCGTTGATCGGACTCGTCAGGCTCCTCGCTGGGCCTATGCGACGCTGAGCCCTGAGCCGCAACGGTCTTCCGACGGCGTAAGGAGCGACAGAGGGCGCCATTGTCAGCACGCCCCAGATCATCGTCATGAGTGGAATCTATTAGTTGGGGTACGTCTAGGATGTGCTTTCTTGCACTAGACAACCGGATCTTCGCGGTCAGCATGCCTGGGCCAGGATGCAGATGTATCAGTCAATTTTTTCCGAATGAAATGAGTTGAGATCATGCAGATTTTGAGGGGATCTTCTACGCAGTCCGAGTCGAAATCTTGCTCAAGTGACGACATATAGTCCTGACCAAGCGCCCGTCGAGCGTTGTCTGACATAGCGCTTGACGGGCGCTTGATCTGCTCCGCGCTCTTAATTCCCGCTGAAGTCTCGTTTTCTCCTTCCTCATACAATTCGATACCCCTACCATCTCTAGGACTTCGACCACCATTAGATATCGTTTGCTCTGCTGTTCCGGCTCGAATACATACCAGCCATGTCTTTCGTCGCGACACGACCCAGGCCGTCTACCTCCGCTCCTTCGGATGGCTCTCGCACCATCACGGTCCACGACAACCAGCCCGGCGAGGGCGATGCCTCCCCTAACGCAAATAGCGAATCCGTTGGACGCTTGCGTCTGCGTGGTGCTCCCCGCAACCGGCCGCGCGTAGTCTGGAGGGAGGATGTGGTCGATAACGAGGGTGCCGGGAAAAAGTCTTCGAAAAGTAGGCTTCTTCATGACGATGCGCTGCGTTCGACACTGAACAATATTCATATTCTGGTGTATTCTAGTCTGCTGTATATATCACAAGCCCAAGAAGTTCGATGAATCCTCGTCAGAAGAGTCATCCGACTCGGACTCAGACTCCTCGTGCAGCCATGGCCATCCCAGCCGCTCACACCGACATCATCACCCCGCCACAAGCGGGAGTGCTGATGGCCAGGCTGTCCGAGGTGGGGATAGCGGGACAGTTGTCGAGGAGCTGAGTGATATTTCTGACGACGTGAACATGTACGAACGGATGTCTGGGGGGAGGAAGTCGCACAAGAAGGGGAAGAAGCCCGTGCGGGATTAACGAATGTGCGTTTGGTATGTCTGGTCTTGGATGTGTTGCGACTGTGGCCCTGATGCATCGTTGACAAGTCTGGGTCGTGGATATTGTGTAGTATACAGCCCATGTAGTGTACGTTTCTTCTTTGCCCCCCAATTGCAACGCTCGCCCCACAGATGGAGAACATGGGCCGTGTGGTGTTTGCTTCATTCACCTTCGGACCTTTCTCCTTGTTTGCGTCCCCGCCATAAACCGCGTCATTCGATTCCACGCGGAACAAGCTCATACCTTCAGCTTTACGTATGACGGAGCGCTCAGCGAACCCAATTGTCTTTATCCCGTGGTCATGGTGCGGCATTATACGGCAGCGGCGTACTTGAAGTGAACGACAGGGCCCTCAAGGTAACATACACAGGCAACCTCCTGACCTAGCCCAAAAGGCCCGAGGTGTGTTTATTGCATAATTGCCGTAAGGCATCTTCCCCGCAATACCCAGCAGACGCGGAAACCCGCAAGCCAATGACTACAACAAGACGCGTGGCGTCTACGCTCTGCCGTATCTACAGGACAAAACGGTGCTACTCATATCTCGGCAAGTAGAGCGCGCGACGGTTGCTGTTCGTCTTGTACAATTCAATGCCGAACACGTTGGAAGACATTAAGGTGTGCATCTTCACTGACAAATGTTGCCGTTTGCCGTGCCGCGTGCTTGATACCGACATGCTGCAGTAACGACTTTGACCACTCCCTGGCGCGTCTAGTGTAGTCAGCATCGGAATCGATGGCGGACGTCTCAGGCAGCGAGACTCCACATCCCCCACCCTCTAACATACCTTGGCAGCATACGCCAACCGTGTACGATATTCTCTGCCAATGTCTCTCTGTCATGGTACTCGCGCACGGCTCCGTTCGTTAACCAACCCTGGCATTCTGCGAGGACTCGGCGCCAGTCGCAGCATCACCGCCATTGACACGCCCGACACCAGCACACCTCTCTCACTGGGGGCTAGTACCGCCACACAGGGCGTGTCTAGGTCAATATCACGAGCATTAACGACCAAACAGCGGTCGTTTGCAGAACTCGGGATCACGTCTCGGCAACCGCCCGGTCCTGTCTCTTCAGTGGGTATAGGTAAAGCAGCGCTCAAGGCTCTTTCATTATTATCGACCATGCTGATGGACATTTATGCCAGATGGTTCATTCAAGAAGGCACGCGAGAACGACCTGCCTACAAGAGCGATATCCCTCAATGCAACAGCCTTGCATCCGCGGCGGGGGCGGGCACCGTCTCTGCGCCTGATCTCGGAGTCAGGCGACGTCGTTGCAGTCGGGGTCGATGATGTATCCTGCCTGCCGTATGCCCCACCTCCGGCGACTAGAGACACAGATATTGCAAGACCCGCTAGCTCAGGGATCCTGGCATCTTGTCTGTCCTGTTCGCGCTCGCTTGGATCCTTGTTCCCAGCGTCATCCGAGGAGCCTACGGGGCCGGCGCTACGCGCGAAGCCTGACGACCCTCTAGCTTCTTCGTCCTATGAGCTTACTGGTGCCTTGTGTCGCCCCGAGTCTCCGCTTGCGCGCACCCGACGGGCGGGGCACACGGCACGTCTGGAGCTGCAATCCACGTCCATGCAGCATCGGTTCTCGGCGCAGCTGTGTCAAGGCCTATCGCCGGAGATGGTGACTGTGTATGCGAAGCGCGGCAGCCGTGTCGCTGTGGTGGTAGACGCATGGAACGTGGAGAAAGAATGTGAGGCGCTTGGTTCCTCCTCGCGGGCATCTTGGACGAGACAGAGCGCTGACATATATCGGTGTGTGAGCAGCACACTACGAATGGGAGATTGCGTTTCAACCACGGGATGTCGACATGGCGTCCGTGCGTGTTCAGCTGGAGGCTGATGGGCAGCTGATGATGACGGTGCGACGACGAGGGTTTGGAGTTGGGAGTACTGCTTGCCCTGTGATTCGTGAAGGGTTGCGTTGACGATTAGCAAATGGACCCTGGTTGCCCGAAGAATATCGTTTGGTTCGTAAAGCCTGTGATGACGACGTCG